TGGATGCCTGCCACGAGAGGTGTGATCCAATGCCTGTAATTACGCCACCAAACAAACACGACTGCTGAGAAAGTCAGCGGCAGTAAGCGCTGGCAACGTCCATGCAATGTAGCTCTAAGCAACCGGCCTACCATGAGAACACTGCGAGTACCGACATTCAGTGGTTACGACGGGAGTCGACTCTGAAATCGTGGCCTCAGCAGAAAGCGGTGAACAATATCCGGCTTTGGCCGTCGTGAGGAATCTGGATTCAGCACGCCGATCAAGTGGCCGCAGCGCCCCAAGGTGTCCTGGGGGAAAAAAACAAGCACATCGAAGCTCTTTCGAGGACTCTAGTGGAAATGTCCACCCGGACCGGCCCCTCTGTCTCTCTTCAGAAAACCGAAAGCCACATCGGTCCGAAAGGTGGCTTAAGCTCTGGAGCGAGCAAAAAATGGCGAAGACGCTGCCCTTTGGCCTGAGCATGAGCAAAATCTCACGGGAGAAAGTGCAGCACTCGCAATTCAGCCGGTATGCAAAAACAAGCGGGTTGTGGGTTGCGGACCAACGTGAAATGCATGATTTGCCCAGGTTTCGGAATTTTCTGCCAGCTAAGTGGCTCCCAGCTTTTGCAGGACAAAATGCGGGCTTTGGAGTACGAAAACGCTTTGCTTGGCTCCGGGCCGGATCGGGAAATGGATCAACCGGTTGTAGATAGCAGCTCCGAAAGGGCCTCCGGTGCCAACATGAGCAGTCCAAATTGCACCACAGACTTCTTGCCATAGGTGTCCTTTTTAGGAAAATGGATGGCCCTGGTCAATGGAATAAAACCAACCTAAACCAGTGCCATCTACTTCTACCCAAAATAACCTATAAAGGACACCTATGCTTCTTGCTCCAATTGCTTTCTTTGGTTTGCTTCCTGACCAAGAGTTTGGCAACACCATTTTTGCAAGTATAAATGACGCCACGGACATCAAGAATCCTGGAGGTCGGAGGTGTTCTTCTGCCATCGCCACTGGGTGCCCCACAGCGCGAAGGATCCCAAGGCCGCAAAGTCGTCTTCTCACCATCGTAACCTAGCGTGATAGAACCTGAGGCTGCTTCTGAGCGAAGCAAAAAGAAAAAAAAGGAAAAAAACAAACGGATTTCGGACATATGGGGCCTGCCCAACACTTGGCATGTATCTGACATATTCATGCCATTAAATCAAGCGGCTGTACTTTGGGCTGGATGGAGAAGTTTCCTGCAACGAAATCCCACAGACCGCACATCCGACGCGGCTGCAAGCATTCGCTCCGACACTGGGCCAGACTTGGATCCGGAAAAAGTTGACTGCTGGTTGAAACAGAAAGTTACTGGTTCAAAGTAAGTTAATAATGGAAGCAGCTAAAAGGTACGCTCAGTCTGGCAATTCAATCTGCACGGCTATAGTCCTGGAACTCTACATGAAAAAAAAAAAGCATTCAGACGCATGCAGTATGACAAAATCACAAACTCGCACGAGTCCTCCCCATTGTTGCCCCAATCCTGGCAGAGGCTAGATGTGAGGCCGGGAGCGATGGAATCACGGGGTAAGCATAGCAAGCATGGTACACTTCTCGGCTCCAAGCCTGTTGGCCTCTCTCTGGTGACATACCCCGTCTACATTGCAATTGGCCAAACCCCAAACCCCGCTCCCCGATAGGGATACGGTACCTAGTTTCAAGCGGATTGGCAACAAGGAAGCCAAGGGATATGAACAAGGGGTACTTTCACTCATAGATTTTTCTGCGAATGCACACACACACACAAACACCCTCACACACGCAGACAAACACAACACACACACACACACTCACTCTCACACACACACACACACACGCACACACGCACGCACGCACGCACGCCCGCCCGCACGCACGCACGCACGCACGCACGCCGACACACACACTCACACACACAACACAACACAACACAACACAACACAACACAACACAACACAACACAAAACAACACAACACAACACAACACAACACAACACAACACAACACAACACAACACAACACAACACAACACAACACAACACACACACACACAACACGTCTGGTGGGGCCGTAGCTCAAGCCCTTGGACACTCTGCAGGTGCAGTGTTTGTTGTGTGCGCGGATGCGCAACTGCTCACACACAGACACAGACTCACACACACACAGAGACAAACAGAGACACACAGAGACACACGGAGACACACAGAGATACACAGAGACACACAGAGACCCACAGAGACACACAGAGACACACAGAGACACACGGAGACACACGGAGACACACGGAGACACACAGAGACACACACAGACACACAGACACACACACAGAGATACACAGAGATACACAGAGATACACAGAGATACACAGAGACACACAGAGACAAACAGAGATACACAGAGACACACAGAGACAAACAGAGACACACAGAGACACACACAGAGACACACAGAGACACACGGAGACGCACGGAGACACACACAGACACACACACAGACGCACACAGAGATACGCAGAGATACACAGAGATACACAGAGACACACAGAGATACACAGACACACACACACACACACAGATACACACAGAGATACAGAGAGACGCACAGAGACAAACAGAGACACACAGAGACACATAGAGACAAGGCACACAGAGACACACAGAGACACACGGAGACACATGGAGACACACAGAGACACACAAATACACAGAGACACACAGAGACATACACAGAGATGCACGGAGACACACAGAGATACACAGAGCACACACAGAGATACACAGAGCCAAACAGAGATACACAGACACTGAAATTCGCAAAGGCGCACAAAACTAATAAGCACACACACACACACATCTTGGCTGTTCTCTCATCTCCGAAGACGTAACCCCACAGACCTTCCGCACAGAGGTGCTTCACAGCTACCACCAAACAACTCGCAAGACAACCGCCGGGCCCGCTGCTGAAGCGGGATTGGCGCTGCCGGCACAGTGTCATGGCCGCAGCCCGATATTCGAGCCCTCCAAGCCACCAATTCAACCGCTCTTGGGAATCAAAAAGAAGACACCGGCAAGGACAAGGACACTGTGGGTGCGCAGGAGGCTCTGAGACACTTCCGCAAGAAGGAGGAGAAGGAGCGGGAGCGCTCCCCTGCTAAATTTTAACTTTAGTGGTTTAGTGGAAAATCCATTAGTTGGCAAAAAGTTAAAGCCCTAACATCCCTTGGCAAAATGCAGCTAAGGATTTGTAAGGTGGCCTCACATCGTTCTGCTGGACCTTCTCGCAAGGTGCAAATGACCTTAGCGCCAGTCAGCTTCACGTGTTTCCCATAGGAAAAGTGGCCCGAAGAACCATGAACACTTAGGTGTGGAGCCTGTTGATCCGCATGGCGTCCGTTGGAGCGAATGTAGGGAACATGGCAACCCTGGCTTGCCCTTGGGGAAACAAGATGAGGTTGGATCAACTTGGAACAATCAAGCTGCCCAAATCATAGCTTCAGGGAATCCCTAAGGGTGGTCCAAGGGCGGGGGGTTCCCTAAGGCTACCCCCCCCTGCAACGTACCTGCCCCACGGATGGGATTCCACAGCTGCGCAAAACCAGTCCAGTGCCTGCGCGTGTCTCCTGGATGGAGATGCTCTCTCCTGACTCACTGACGCATACTCAGCACGGCTCACTGTGCCATGCTTGCAAGCATCACAATCACATATAGGGGTTGATCAATATTCCCTTCGGCCCCCAACTGACCATAGACAACTTTTCCCATGAGGTGAGCGTCATATGTTTGTGTAGTTTCCCTGATGGTCATCACATGTTTAGCGGACCTTTTGATCAACCCGCATATTGAACCATGGTGTGCCATGGTAAAAACCCCTAGGTCATTTTTCCCCAACAACCTTTACATTTTCTCCAAAACCCTGCCAACCCCAAGCAGGCTTCTTTCTGGCAATGAAGATCCAGTCTTCCAAAGAAACAAGCCTACCGCTTGGAGAATCCCTTTCTGCGTGCTCACTCCTCCTCACCAGCTGGAGACTTGCCTCAGACGAAAGCGGGCCGGCACCGCGAGCGCAAAGCGGACGCCAACTTTGAGCACGCTATGGTGGGTTGATATCACAAGTGAACCACCAGAACCCCCCTCCCGGCAGAATTCCTGAGAACCCCCCACCCCACCCCACCCCCCCCCCAAAAAAAAAGGAAGAAAAAAAAAACAAAGAATAAAACAGATATTCATATCGCAAGTGAACAACCAAGAACCCCCCCGAATTCCTGAGGAAACAAAGACCGGGGGTCGCTTGCTCGGCGCACGCTCCACTCTTCCAGTAAATCTTGTGGCCGCCTTTGGGCCATCCCACGCACGCTCGAGCTTTTTTCTTGCCACGCGCTGCGTGTCCACGCGCCGGCTCGAGCAAAGCATGCGGCAATGGTCAGCCGCAAAGGAAACAATTGTTTCAGCTACCTAAGTGGGTGCGATTATTCATGGGGCACCCTCATTTAGGTGGGGATTGCAAGCTTCCACATTGAACTAAGCCTTGGCTACTTTGGCAAACGAGGAACTTGTATGACCTGGCAGGCATGCAGCGCTTCTATGCATCAACCCGAAGGATTGGCCCTGTTACGTGTTGTCGCCGTACGCCCAAATGCCGACCTTGGACGGCGCGTCTGCGGTAGCGAGTCAGTGGGCTGCTGGGTGTGCACTAAAATAGCTTGACAGCTTTTGGTTGACTATACCACTATGTCATGGCCACTATGCAATTGTATACCCCGTTATTTCGAGGTCGTGCTTGGGGTAGTGCAAACCTCACAGATGGGGGGCAGAAAGGCACAATGACAAGGTGTGCAACGTCGTTGATGCCCTGCTGCCTTAAACCTCATTGCCCCAAAATGACATGAAGATTAGAGTCATCCCGACTTAGCTGGGCATCCAAGGCTGGGGGAATAGCACGCATTGTGTCCATCTCTTTGCTCTGAGCCACGGTGATCCTCGGATTAATGAAGGTGTTGCAGTGTAGCTTCGCTTCCACCTGCCGCCACCACAGCTCGAGACAGGGGACCCAACAAATGGAGGGGTGTCCTTCTGGCTTTTCTTTAAAACCATTAAACAAAAAGAAAACAATTACCAACTGAAAAAAAACGAACCCACAAATGCCGGTAATGGGGTTTGCCTCGCGAAACATTGAACTCTCCCGATGGGGTGAAAAACCCATCCCGACGGCAAACAAAATGCCGACAGAACCTTCAACAAAAACGATGGCAATGGCCGCCCTTCAAAACGGGCTTGGATGTTGGTGATCCCAAGCCCACACCTAGAGGTTGGAGGTTTGGGGCCATCTGTTGAAGGCTTGAAGGCTTGGGCGACCATCCCCCTTTGAGCCCGCAAAGAAACAAGAGGGTATGCGGTTGAGGACCCCATTTGTGGTTGTTTGTGGTTGTTTGTTGTTGTTGTTGCTGCTGCTGCTGTTGTTGTTGTTGCTGCTGCTGCTGCTGCTGCTGCTGTTGTTGTTGTTGTTTGTTTGTTTGTTTGTTTGTTTGTTTGTTTGTTTGTTTGTTTGTTTGTTTGTTTGTTTGTTTGTTGTTGTTTGTCGTTGTGTGTTGTTGTTTGTTTTGTCTGTTGCTTGTTGTTTTTATGTTGTTTCTGGTTGTTTGTTTGTCGTCTGTTTGTTGTCATTCGTTGTCGTTTGTTGTTGTTTGCTGTTGTGTGTTGTCGCTTGTTGTCGTTTGTTGTTGTTTCTTGTTGTGTGTTTCTTGTTGTGTGTTTCTTGTTGTTGTTGTTGTTGTTGTTGTTGTTGTTGTTGTTGTTGTTGTTGTTGTTGTTGTTGTTGTTGTTGTTGTTGTTGTTGTTGGTGTTGGTGTTGTTGTTGTTGTTGTTGTTGTTGTTGTTGTTGTTGTTGTTGTTGTTGTTGTTGTTGTTGTTGTTGTTGTTGTTGTTGTTGTTGTTGTTGGTGTTGTTGTTCTTGTTGCTCTTGTTGTTCTTGTTGTTGTTGTTGTTGTTGTTGTTGTTGTTGTTGTTGTTGTTGTTGTTGTTGTTGTTGTTGTTGTTGTTGTTGTTGTTGTTGTTGTTGTTGTTGTTGTTGTTGTTGTTGTTGTTGTTGTTGTTGTTGTTGCTGTTGTTGTTG